CAAGTTCATCCGCTGGAACGCCGGCCCCGGCCGGGAGGGTCCCTGGCGGGCGGCGGTCTCCGGGCCCGAGGGCGCGGGGCTCGCCCTCTGCCTGGGCCGGGGTGCCTGATGCAAGATGGCTGTGTTTTGTAAGGCTCTAAAACGACGTATGGAACACACGGACAACTGCACCAGGGCCCGAGTGCCCGTCCCCGCAGCTCGTCCTACCAGCCGGTGCGGCCCTTGCGTCCATCTCGGTGTTCCGTGGGATCGCTTTGCAAAGGAATCGCCAAATAGAGGGTAATCGATGTTGTCAGCAGCTCCTGCACAGTTTAGAAGAGACTGAAAACTGCAGAAATGAGGAAAACGTGGTCTGGGGATCATGACAGTCACCGGTTTCCAGCTCTCAGTAGCATAAGAAACAGACTTTTCATGGCTCAAGTTGTCCTCAATTGTTAGTTGATGGGCCTTAGGACATCTGAACCGTCCCTAGATGGTATTGACAACGCTCCACAACTGTGTGTGAAGGTTTTCAATGAAAGTGTCGTGCAGACATCCCGTGGTAGTGAAGGAGATAAATTTCACAGATGAAAGGCACTAACTACTGTTAGTAATCAAGATCTCACAAAGCATCTTCCTCATAAACGTTATCCTGAAACGTAAATGGAAATCAGATATGAGGGAAGGAATGGATCTGTCCAAGGTCACTTAAGTGAGGAGCAGACCCAGGAGAAATAAAAAATCCAGGTCTCCTGTTTCATTATTACTTAATGAATGTTAAGTGTCCGAGATTGCTGTGCAGAGTGCACCAATCTCTGCTCTTATCCTAAAAGCACATATGCAAAAAAGCCTAGGCTGAGCTACCAGAAAAGAATTCTTACATTTCAAGCCAAGAAGAGTTATTTTGCTTGTTTCTTGTTTTGTTTTCAGGAAACTAAAATATTTATTGTTGGATTTATCCGGGAAGGCTGTTCTACATCAGTTAAATTCATCATATTTTCAAGAAATGCTAAGTGACATGGGCAGTGGTCTCTTTGTATGCTGGATTTTCCCATAGCTTCTACTTCTTGGCTTTAAAAAAATATGTCTAAGGAATGGAAAGACTATTTTAGGTGAAATAATTCTGATCTTGGATTATCTGGACCAATTCAGCTATCCATCTGTAAAGTGAAAGTAATAATATTTATCTGTATGAAGGGAAGTCCACAGATACTTTCTAGCTGTAGGTTGGGGTACTTAAGCACTTGGATAGGCAACTGGTTACCCTCCTAGTGGCTTCAGGAAGTTCTCTCACAGAACCCATATGTATCGAGTGCCAACTCTGTGCTTGGCATAATACTGGGTGCTGGGAATGCACGGTGACCAACACAAGCAATTCCTGTCCATGGGGCCCACAATCTCTGGAAACATTGTTTTGCATAGGGAAGTAGCCCCTAGGAGGGGGGAAGGAAAGCCCTCTTTGAAGCCCCAAGAGTGGCAAAAACTGTAGCTAAAGAGAGAGAAGGATTGTAGAGTTCAGAAAACGGGAAGAGAGCTGCCAGGGCAAGAAGAGATTCCAAAGGAGGTCATCTTTTTTAAAAACGATTATCGATTCATGACCAGTCTTGTGTTCCATCTATACCTCTCCTTGCTCCTCCTGCCTTCCCACTTGAATTATTTTCAGCACCACACTCTCCCTTTTTTAAAAATTATTTTATTTTTTAAAAGATGACTGGTAAGGGAATCTTAACCCTTGACTTGGTGTTGTCAGCACCACGCTCAACCAGTGAGCCAACCGGCCATCCCTATATGGGATCCGAACCCGGGGCCTTGGTGTTATCAGCACCGCACTCTCCCGAGTGAGCCACGGGCCGGCCCACACTTGAATTATTATTATTTTTTTTTTCCTTTCTTTCGTCTTTTTTCGTGACCGGCAACGGATCGCAACCCTCAGTGTCGCACCCGTACCGGACTGGGACCGGCAACGGAATCGCAACCCTCGGAGTTGCACCCGCACCTCGCTCAGCCAGTGAGCGGCTGGTCTGTATGTGGGATCCGAACCCTCGGCGGGAGCGCCGCCGCACTCCCAAGCAGCGCACTGTAGCAGTGCGCCACCGGGCCGCCCCCACACTTGAATTATTTTGAAGCAAATCCAAAACTACATCACTTCGTCTGTAGATATTTCACTGTGTGGCGGGAGCCGAATGAATGACTGACGTGCGTCTTTCATCTCTTGTAATCTACAGATTCTTTCTTGGCACTTTGTGGAAAAATATGAATTATTTGTCCCAAAAGCCTCTCTCTAAAACTGTCCCTCCCTTCAGTCTTGCCCAGTAAATGTCTCTACCGCCAACTCAGCTGCTCAAACCAAAAACTACAAGCATGCTCCCTGAGCCTCAGCCTTCCCCCCACAGCCAGTCCTATTGATCCTGCCTCTGAAATGCTTCATGGAATGACTTGCTCCTCTCTTCATCTGTCACCTGGCCTCCCATGGTGACTTCCTAGGTGACCTTTCCCTTTCCACTGTTGTACTTCCGTACAGTATTCCATTCCGTACGCTGCATGCACAGATTAGTCACACCTTTGCTTAAAATCCATGCAGTGGCCTCTATCTGCTCTTGGTTAAACTCCACAGTGTGGGACCTGGCATGACCCCTCCCTCCTGTCAGCACTAGCCTGTGGTGACTCTCACCTCTGGCCTGTGGTGACCTTCCCTGCCTTAGGGTCGCAGCACTTGCTATTTCTGAGGCTGGATGTTCTTCCCTCAGCTTTTCACAGGACTGGCTCACCATCTCCTAAAGTAACATTTCCTACCTTTCCCATGTCATTTTATTCTTAGAAAATGATCCTGTTTGTAAGGTACACCGAGGGATAGTGAAGAGGATTTGGGGCCATTCATATGGAATTTGATTTAAAAATCCATTATATATTCTCATATTGCATAATCACTACAAGAGAAAATATTAGGTTTTAGGGAAGATACTAAATATCGAACTTGTACAGAACTCCCAAATAAGATGTTTTCAAAGTTTTTAATGAGAAAATTTGAGCTTACTTCGCTGAACATAATTTTTTATGTCAGGTTTTGTGCTTGAAATGGCTATATGAAATTCCTGATCAAGACTTTATAATGAAGGGGCTGGCCTGTGGCTCACTTGGTAGAGTGCGGTGCTGATAACACCAAGGCCCCGCGTTCGGATCCCATATAGGGATGGCCGGTTTGCTCACTGGCTGGGCGTGGTGCTGACAACACCAAGTCAAGGGTTAAGATCCCCTTACCGGTCATCTTTTTTTTTTTTTTTCCTTTTTGTCTTTTTTCGTGTCCGGCAACGGATCACAACCCTCAGTGTCGCGCCCGTACTGGACCGGGACCGGCAACG